ATGGGTTTGATGGGAGTGGGGGTGGCGGGATGTTTCACCCCCAAATGTGAGTGGGCATTTAAATTTTCCTCCGCCCGGTACACTATGTTACGGCCCAAAAAAGCAGTTTTCGGTGATTGTCTTTTTGGGGCAAACTTTAACTTTTTCCCCTGGGCAGACCTTTTGGGCCTTCGGGGCCCCTTTTTCATGTTTAGTTGGTGCCCCCCCGAAAAAAAAATTTGAAAAACCAGAGGGGGGCCCCCCACTGCAAAAATTTTCCAAATTCCCCAAAATACCACACAAGGGCAAAAAGCAAAACTGGCTGACTTATTAAACCGGCTGTAAAAAATAAAATTGCCTAGTTTTATCCGAAAATGGGCAGTCTGGTAACTTCAGAAATTTAAAGACCCTGTGAAAAAAAATTTTTCTTCAATTTTTATGGTTCTGAATGACTAGAAAACTGGCATAACGGAATTCTCCCCCAAGTTTATAGATCCAGTTTTTTCAAATTTGCCGGGGATACAAGGGGCTGTTTTTAGCCTAAAACCCGTGAAAGAAAAATTTTTAAAAGATTACCCCAAAAGGAAGATAAGAAAGATGATCACTAAAAGGGGCTTTAGCAGAAAGGAAAAAGTGATGTTTAAAAGAGTGTGTTTGGGAAAAAAAGGGAAAGTGTTTTAAAATAAAAGTCTATGTTGTGAAATTTTCTATTAAAATTTAAACTTATTTGGGTTCCCTTTTTTAATATAAAATATTTTTGTAGGATAAAAATATGTTTTTTATGTTTTATGGGGTTTTTTGGTTTTAATGTTTGGTTTTATTTATATTTTTTGGGGGTTTTGAAATTGATAAGTTTTTTTCACCAATTTCAATTTGCCCCAAAATTTTTTTTTTTATTTTTTTATTTTTGTATTTTAACTATTGGGTTTGGAATTTTTTGATGAGGGTTTTTTCTAAATTATTTTTCTTATTTTTTTTTATTTTGTAATTATTTTGTTGGGGGGCATGTGATTAATTTTATCTAAAATTTTTTTTTCTTTTTATTTTGATTTTTAATTTTTGTGTTTGGGATCTATGAAGGGGTTTTTATCGGATTATTTTTTCCTTTTATTTTTTTTTTTTAAATATTGGGGGTGGATTTAAAAAAAGGGGAAAAAATTTTGGTGAAAAATTTTTTCATGTTTTTTGCTTATTTTTTCGAAATTTTTGGAAAAATTTTTGTTTTTTTTTGAATGAATATAAATGAATTATTTTTGTTTTTTGAAATTATTAAAAGGGGATTTTTCTTATTTATTTTCAGTGTAAAATTTTTTGTGGGGCCCTTTCCCTTTGGATTTCCCACCAAAAATATTTTTTTCCTTTTCTTTGATAAAAATTTTTTCTAATAAAATAAGTAAATTTAAAAGTTTGATTTTCAATTTTTTTTGTTTTAGTATTTCAAAATTTCAAAAATAATATTCTTCGGGTTTTAAACTTAATCTGGAAAACCATGACTTTTTTTAAAAAATTTTTAAGGTTTTAAATTAAAATGAGGGGCCTTTTGAGGGAAAAAAAATGTAAAGTAATGTTTGAAATAAACAATTTTAGAATTTGGTTTTTTAACTAGTGACCCCCCTGAAAAGAGGGTTTCAAATTTTTGGGAAAAATTTAAAAAGTATTTTACAAGGGGACTCACATATAAGTTTAAAGATTTTTTTAACTAAAATTGCAATATGGGGCCCAAAATTTGGGGGAATACACTTCCTTGGGGGTTGGGATTGGTTTAAATGGGCCCCAATTTTTTTAGCCTTTTTGCACTGGGGGGTTTTAGGGGGGGATTTTTGGGCCTTGGGGGAGGTACTGCGGTTTTGCGGACAATTATACGCCCTAGGCGGGGGTCAGGCATACTCCTTTTCCAAAAACCTGGACAAATCTTGGGAGGGGTCCATGACGCCCATGTTTAAAAACCCGGTGTCGTTGGTTTTAAACCCGGGTTGGGGGGTATAAAAGCGGGGTCTTTTCTTTTTCCCAGTTTAAAGGGAAAAAGGTGTAAAGGGGGCCCCGGACGAATTTTTAGTTTTCCCCCCAAATTTTTATTAATATCATTTCCCAAAAGATTTTTAAGGGGGTAAGATATTTAGTTTTTTGTGTCAAGAGTTATACCCTTTTTACCCATTTTTGGGAGGAGCTTGCCCCTTTAATTAGATCACCCATTAAAATATTGTGCCCGATAGTCTGTCCTCTAGGTGATTGCCACAAAGACAGACGTATTTTTTAAGAACTAAATGTGACGATTAAAATTAAAAAAATGGGACGTAATGATGCAGGCCATGAGGTGCGATATTGGACGTCAGGAAGTATCAGTTCGAGGAGAAGGGGAAATGTCACAACCCTATCAAGGTAACAGTCAGTGTACCACACCGTAGGTGGGGGTGGTGCGTGACACCTATCCAGGGTGACCCAAAGGGTCAGGGGAGCCGTGAACTGGTCAATGTCCGTTATGTGATCGCACGGCGAAACCAGCGCTCAGGCTAAAGCAAGAACAAGACCTGAACTGTGTGTGTAGTACACACGATGACTGCTTTGGGGAGCTGAGCTGGGTGAACGGGGTCAAGAGGACACGAGAGGAGGAGAACAGGAACATTCGGTCTTGTGCGTCGGTCAGGAAGAGAGGACGTTTAGCAAGACATTATGTTATAGTATTAGAAGTTAGGATATTTCTGTTAGTGACTGGATAGTTTACTTTTATAGTATTAAGTTAGGGATATATTCTGTTAGTGACTGGATAGTTTATGTACAGTTTTAGGGCTAGGATAGGATAGTTCTTGTATAGAGTATTTATATATATGTGCTGTGAGAGAGTGGCTAACCTTGACACTCTGACCCTGCACTAAGACAGAGACTGTGACAGTTTGATTGGGTCAGCGTGGCGATACAAGAGAGCGTATCCTGCCGGGTTGTGGTTTGTACACCAGAATATTGCCTGTCGCACGTACTGGGGACGGGGCGATTGTAAAGCCCGTTCAGCCAGAGGGTCTAGGCAATAGGTGGCCACACGGCGGGAAGTCAACTGTCTATGTATTACCTGTACTTCCAATAAAGATTGTCGTGTGTGCTCTGTGTGCGTTCGGGTTCAGTGTGTGTTAAAGGTTAGTCTGTCTGTCATAGGCCTAGTTAGCGAGCCACGGACCGGCAAGGTCATACCAGAGGTTTGTGACAACAGGTGGAAGGAACATAACTATAGCACAATCCTGGAATAAACATACGGAACACAGGTGGAAGGAACATAACTATAGCACAATCCTGGAATAAACATACGGAACACAGGTGGAAGGAACATAACTATAGCACAATCCTGGAATAAACATACAGAACACAGGTGGAAGGAACATAACTATAGCACAATCTTAGAATAACCATACGGCATACAGGTGGAAGGAACATAACTATAGCACAATCCTGGAATAACCATACGGCACACAGGTGGAAGGAACATAACTATAGCACAATCCTGGAAGAACCATACGGCACACAGGTGGAAGGAACATAACTATAGCACAATCCTGGAAGAACCATACGGCACACAGGTGGAAGGAATATAACTATGGCACAATCCTGGAAGAACGATACGGCACACAGGTGGAAGGAACATAACTATAGCACAATCCTGGAATAACCATACAGCACACAGGTGGAAGGAACATAACTATAGCACAATCCTGGAATAACCATACGGCACACAGGTGGAAGGAACATAACTATAGCACAATCCTGGAATAACCATACGGCACACAGGTGGAAGGAACATAACTATAGCACAATCCTGGAAGAACCATACGGCACACAGGTGGAAGGAACATAACTATAGCACAATCCTGGAAGAACCATACGGCACACAGGTGGAAGGAATATAACTATGGCACAATCCTGGAAGAACCATACGGCACACAGGTGGAAGGAACATAACTATAGCACAATCCTGGAATAACCATACAGCACACAGGTGGAAGGAACATAACTATAGCACAATCCTGGAATAACCATACGGCACACAGGTGGAAGGAACATAACTATAGCACAATCCTGGAATAACCATACGGCACACAGGGGGAAGGAACATAACTATAGCACAATCCTGGAATAACCATATGGAACACATGTGGAAGGAACATAACTATAGCACAATCCTGGAATAACCATACGGCATACAGGTGGAAGGAACATAACTATGGCACAATCCTGGAATAACCATACGAAACACAGGTGGAAGGAACAATAATATAGCACAATCCTGGAATAACCATACGGAACACAGGTGGAAGGAACATAACTATAGCACAATCCTGGAATAACCATACGGAACACAGGTGGAAGGAACATAACTATAGCACAAAACAAGGAGGTATGAACCTACCTTTAATAAAAATATGAGGAATGAACCTACCTAAAGCATAAACATGAGAAGGAATGAACCTACCTAAAGCAAAACATGAGGAGGAATGAACCTATCGATAGCATAAACATAGGGAGGTATAAACCTATCTATAGCACAAACATATGGAGGTATGAACCTATCAATAGCATATACATGTGGAGGAATGAACCTACCTAAAGCATAAACCTGAGGTGGAATAAACCTACCTATGGCATAAACATGAGGAGAAATGAACCTAACTATAGGATAAACATAAGGAGGTATGAACTTATCTATAGCACAAACATAAGGAGGTGTGAACTTATCTATAGCATACACATGAGGAGGAATGAACCTACCCAAGCATAAACATACAGAGGTGTAAACCTATCTGTAGCATAAACATGGGGAGGAATGAACATATCTATAGCATACACATGGGGAGGAATGAACCTACCTATAGCATACACATGGGGAGGAATGAACATATATATAGCATATACATGGGTAGGAATGAACAGATAGATCTATAGCATAAACATGGGGATGTGTGAACTTACCTATAGCATACACATGGGGAGGAATAAACATATATATAAAGCATAAACATGAGGAGGAATAAGCCTACCTATAGCATACACATGGGGAGGTAGTGTGCCCAGTGATTTTCCCTGGTACTTCTTGATAGTGTTCACAGAATACAGATCAGGAACCTCGTAGTAGGGATTGATGGCAATCAGGATGTTGGCGGTGTAGGTCTGTAAGTAGTAAACAGACCAATTCTGTCAGTCAGGCAGCATCAACCACAGCAGTCAATCAACACACTGACTACAATAATATGTCACCAAGCAGCCAAATACAGACCAAATCATCAGTCAGTCAGCATCAACCATAGCAATTAATCAACACACTGACTACAATAATATGTCACCAAGCAGCCAAATACAGACCAAATCAGTCAGTCAGAGAGCATCAACCATGGCAATCAATCAACACATTGACTACAATAATATGTCACCAAGCAGTCAAACACAGACCAAATCAGTCAGTCAGACAGCATCAACCATGGCAATCAATCAAGACATTGACTACAATAATATGTCACCATGCAGCCAAACACAGACCAAATCAGTCAGTCAGCATCAACCACGGCAATTAATCAAGACATTGACTACAATAATATGTCACCAAGCAGCCAAATACAGACCAAATCAGTCAGTCAGTCAGTCAGTCAGTCAGCATCAACCATGGCAATCAATCAACACATTGACTACAATAATATGTCACCAAGCAGCCAAATACAGACCAAATCAGTCAGTCAGTCAGCATCAACCATAGCAATTAATCAACACACTGACTACAATAATATGTCACCAAGCAGCCAAATACAGACCAAATCAGTCAGTCAGAGAGCATCATCCATGGCAATCAATCAACACATTGACTACAATAATATGTCACCAAGCAGTCAAACACAGACCAAATCAGTCAGTCAGACAGCATCAACCATGGCAATCAATCAAGACATTGATAAACAATAATATGTCACCAAGCAGCCAAATACAGACCAAATCAGTCAGTCAGACAGCATCAACCATGGCAATCAATCAACACATTGACTACAATAATATGTCACCAAGCAGTCAAACACAGACCAAATCAGTCAGTCAGACAGCATCAACCATGGCAATCAATCAAGACACTGACTACAATAATTTGTCACCAAGCAGCCAAATAAAGACCAAACACAGACCAAAGTCAGTCAGTCAGCAATTAATCAACACATTGACTACAACCATGGTTACCAATCACAGACATTGACTACAATAATATGTCACCATGGCAATCAATCAAAATGACAGACAATAATATCAGTCAGTCAGACAATCAGTCAGTCATGGCATCAATCATGACATTCAATCCTACTGACTAAATATAGGTCACCAAGCAGCCAAATACAGACCAAATCAGTCTCAGTCAGTCAGTCAGCATCAACCATGGCAATCAATCAACACATTGACTACAATAATATGTTACCAAGCAGTCAAACACAGACCAAATCAGTCAGTCAGACAGCATCAACCATGGCAATCAATCAACACACTGACTACAATAATATGTCACCAAGCAGCCAAATACAGACCAAATCAGTCAGTCAGTCAGTCAGCATCAACCATGGCAATCAATCAACACATTGACTACAATAATATGTTACCAAGCAGTCAAACACAGACCAAATCAGTCAGTCAGACAGCATCAACCATGACAATCAATCAACACATTGACTACAATAATATGTCACCATGCAGCCAAACACAGACCAAATCAGTCAGTCAGCATCAACCACGGCAATTAATCAAGACATTGACTACAATAATATGTCACCAAGCAGCCAAATACAGACCAAATCAGTCAGTCAGTCAGTCAGTCAGCATCAACCATGGCAATCAATCAACACATTGACTACAATAATATGTCACCAAGCAGTCAAACACAGACCAAATCAGTCAGTCAGACAGCATCAACCATGACAATCAATCAACACATTGACTACAATAATATGTCACCATGCAGCTTAACACAGACCAAATCAGTCTACACAGACAGCAAATTAAGTAAATATGGCAATCCTGGATATGATACAACCATATGTCACCAAGCAGGTAAATGAAAAGGACAAATCAGTCAGTAGAACAGCATCAACCATGGCAATCAATCTTGATGTTGACTACAATGGCCTAAGTGTCAAGCACCTACAATGGACAGACCAACATCAGTCAGTCAGTCAGACAGCATTTACCATGGCAATCAATCAACACTATTGCTGTTAATGGTAATTCCCTACACAACCATCTAGGTTATATATACCTGGAACATACAGTGTCTATTGCTGTCAATGGTAATTCCCTACACAATCATCTAGGTATATATACCTGGAACATACAGTGTCTACTGCTATCAATGGTAATTCCCTACACAATCATCTAGGTATATATACCTGGAACATACAGTGTCTATTGCTGTCAATGGTAATTCCCTACTCAATCATCTAGGTATATATAGCTGGAACATACAGTGTCTATTGCTGTCAATGGTAATTCCCTACACAATCATCTAGGTATATATACCTGGAACATACAGTGTCTATTGCTGTCAATGGTAATTCCCTACACAACCATCTAGGTTATATATACCTGGAACATACAGTGTCTATTGCTGTCAATGGTAATTCCCTACACAACCATCTAGGTTATATATACCTGGAACATACAGTGTCTATTGCTGTCAATGGTAATTCCCTACACAACCATCTAGGTTATATATACCTGGAACATACAGTGTCTATTGCTGTCAATGGTAATTCCCTACTCAATCATCTAGGTATATATAGCTGGAACATACAGTGTCTATTGCTATCAATGGTAATTCCCTACACAATCATCTAGGTATATATACCTGGAACATACAGTGTCTATTGCTGTCAATGGTAATTCCCTACACAATCATCTAGGTATATATACCTGGAACATACAGTGTCTATTGCTGTCAATGGTAATTCCCTACACAATCATCTAGGTTATATATACCTGGAACATACAGTGTCTATTGCTGTCAATGGTAATTCCCTACACAATCATCTAGGTATATATACCTGAAACATACAGTGTCTATTGCTGTCAATGGTAATTCCCTACACAATCATCTAGGTTATATATAGCTGGAACATACAGTGTCTACAGCTCTCTGAGGTAATTCTCTACTCAATCATCTAGGTATATATAGCTGGAACATACAGTGTCTACTGATATCTGAGGTAATTCTCTACTCAATCATCTAGGTATATATAGCTGGGACATACAGTGTCTACTGATATCTGAGGTAATTCTCTACTCAATCATCTAGGTATATATAGCTGGGACATGCAGTGTCTTCTGCTGTCTGAGGTAATTCTCTACTCAATCATCTAGGTATATATAGCTGGGACATACAGTGTCTACCGCTCTCTGAGGTAATTCTCTACTCAATCATCTAGGTATATATAGCTGGAACATACAGTGTCTACCGCTCTCTGAGGTAATTCTCTACTCAATCATCTAGGTATATATAGCTGGAACATACAGTGTCTACCGCTCTCTGAGGTAATTCTCTACTCAATCATCTAGGTATATATAGCTGGAACATACAGTGTCTACTGAAATCTGAGATAATTCTCTACTCAATCATCTAGATATATATAGCTGGGACATACAGTGTCTTCTGCTGTCTGAGGTAATCACCTACTTAACTACTCCCCCCCCCCCCCTCCATACACCCAAGCTAAAGCTGGGTCATTAAGTGCCTACTGTTTCTTCTTCTCTTATCTACTCCTGGAATGCCTGGCAGTGTCAGGGCAGGAAGAGATCTCTGGAACCAGCCGCTCTGTTCCCTTTGTAAAAAGTAGTTTTCAGTGTCCCTGATATTTCTGCAATCCAGTTTCTGCACAGTCGACCTCTGGCTCTGTTACTGCTGTATCTGTATAACATTGCTTTCTGTGCTTCTCTGTCTGACGCTCATCTTGTTACAAGGCCAAACCATTTGATTTCTTGTCTACCATTGGAGTCCATTTTGTTTCTGTGCCAAGTCTCCTACTAATATCATCGTTCCTAAGTCGATCTTTCCTTGTTAAACCTAGCATAGTACAAATTGTTGTCATGACAATTTTCCTTCCGTCTTCTGAAGAAAGTGTCCATGTTTAACATTACCAGCATACGCTGGTAAGAATATTGTGTTGAACAGTGTTCAAATTCATATGCTTGCATTTCAAAACTGGAACAGTTTAGTCTAAAACTTGATTGGCTTTATCGCATCTCTTCGTTAATTCTTCCATCTGAAAAAATGCTTCCCAGATATGTCAAATCCTTCACCAGCTCAAACTGGTGTTTATCAATTTTGATTTTGGTAGATCCTCCTTTCTGGAGAATGTTATCACTTCTGTTTTGTCTACTTTGATCTTCACATCATAGCTGTCGCATTCTGAGTGGAGTCTATTCATATGTTCTTGTAGCTGTACTGCTGTTAGGGCCATGATTGCCTGGTCATCAGTGAAAAGCAATTCATTTAGTAATTTGTCAATGTTGTCCCCTTCGTTAGTGTTTGTTAATCTGCAAATTTGATAGACGTATGTGATGAACAGTAGTGGTGATAGAACATACATCTGTCTCCCTCCAGATCTAATGTAGAACTTTTCTGTATTTGTTCCAACTGTGTATGGACTGTTCACATAGAAAATCCTGCACAATTTAATAAAGTGTTTGTTTACTCCATAATCCTGTGGTTCCATCCATAATTTATTCCTAACTCAACCAAAAACTTTCTCTTGGTCTACGAATGCGATGTGTAATTCTTTATAGAATTCTCCTTCCTTTCTACTAATTTTCTAAGTATGAATATTTCATCAGTAGAACTGCTGTTCTTCCAAAATCCTATTTGCAATTCAATAAGGTGTGGTTCGATAATAGGGCACAGCCATTTTATTCCCCCAGGATTTTACAAAATATTTTTCCAGTGTGGCTCAATAAGAAATTCCTCTATAGTTCTCACAATCTCTCTTGCTGCCTTTCTTCTACCAGATAGGCACTTTTACTGCGTTTCTCTAGTTCTCTGATGTCTTCTGTGTTGTCCAGACTAGGCTGAACAGTCTGTGCTCCCATTTTATGCCTACCTCTTCTACTGCTTTGAGTAGTTCAGCAGGTATATCATCAGGGCCTGGTGCTTTGGGTAGTTCAGCAGGTATATCATCAGGGCCTGGTGCTTTGAGTAGTTCAGCAGGTATATCATCAAGGCCTAATGCTTTGAGTAGTTCAGCAGGGATATCATCAGGGCCTGGTGCCTTGAGTAGTTCAGCAGGTATATCATCAGGGCCTGGTGCTTTGAGAAGTTCAGCAGGTATATCATCAGGGCCTGGTGCTTTGAGTAGTTCAGCAGGTATATCATCAGGGCCTAATGCTTTGAGAAATTCAGCAGGTATATCATCAGGGCCTAATGCTTTGAGTAGTTCAGCAGGTATTTCATCAGGGCCTGGTGCCTTGAGTAGTTCAGCAGGTATATCATCAGGGCCTGGTGCTTTGAGAAGTTCAGCAGGTAAATCATCAGGGCCTGGTGCTTTGAGTAGTTCAGCAGGTATATCATCAGGGCCTAATGCTTTGAGTAGTTCAGCAGGTATATCATCAGGGCCTAACGCTTTGAGAAGTTCAGCAGGTATATCATCAGGGCCTGATGCATTGAGTAGTTCAGCAGGTATATCATCAGGGCCTGGTGCTTTGAGTAGTTCAGAAGGTATATCATCCGGGCCTGGTGCTTTGAGTAGTTCAGCAGGTATATCATCAGGGCCTGATGCTTTGAGAAGTTCAGCAGGTATATCATCAGGGCCTAATGCTTTGTTGGAAGGTGCTTCTTTTACAGCTTGTCTGATTTCTGCGAGTGTTATGCTTGGTTTTAAAGTTTTGTTTATGTAGCTGTTGTTTTCTTGTGTTATGGATTGTTCCTCTGACTGTAAGTTGAATAGATCATTGAAATGTTGATGCCATCTCTCTAGGACCTTTCGTGGTTCATTTAAGAAGACTCCCATCTTGTCATTTATAATTTGGCTGAGTCATATTGTTAGTTCCTAACGTTTTCGTAGCACTTTTGTGGTTGGCGTTCAACATTTTGCTGTATTTTTGACATTATGTTTCTATAATGTTTCTAACAATGTCTCTGGCTATTGCTCTTGCCGCTCTGTATTCTTGAAGATCAGCTTGATTTTTACTTTTCACCATAGCTTCTTCTCCACTTACTTAACTTCTTTAGTTAACCCGGTATAATCTTCAGTAATTTTCTGAAGGTGAGATTCTAGTGTTTTATCGTTTTTTAGCTTAAATGAACCCCAGGAAATTGCGCTGGGAAGCAAAGGTGAACACCATGAGAATGAGTGCACTGAGTGCCAGCTGGCAATTCTTTCAAGTGATACCCCAGAGGTTGGGGTACTGGGGTAGTTCCTACATAACATCATTCCTTCAACTGACACCCCAGAGGTTGGGATACTGGGGTAGATTTTACAGAACATCAATTCTTCAACTGACACCAAAGAGGTTGGGGTACTGGGGTAGTTCTTACAAAAATGTCAATCCTTCAACTGATATCCCAGATGTTGGGGTACTGGGGTAGTTCTTACAGAACATTATTCCTTCAACTGACACCACAGAGGTTCGGGTACTGGGGTAGTTCTTACAAAACGTCAATCCTTCAAATGACACCCTAGATGTTGGGGTACTGTGGTAGTTCTTAAAGAACGTCAATCCTTCAACTGACATCCCAAATGTTAGGGAACTGGGGTAGTTCTTACAGAACGTCAATCCTTCAACTGACATCCCAAATGTTAGGGTACTGGGGTAGTTCTTACAGAATGTCAATCCTACAAATGACATCCCAAATGGTAGGGTACTGGGGTAGTTCTTACAGAACGTCACCTTCAACTGACATCCCAGATGTTAGGGTACTGTGGTAGTTCTTACAGAACGTCAGCCCTTCAACTGATATCCCAGATGTTGGCGTACTGTGGTAGTTCTTACACAATGTCAATCCTTCAAGTGACATCCCAGATGTTGGCGTACTGTGGTAGTTCTTACAGAACGTCAATCCGTCAACTGACATCCCAGATGTTCATTATGTGAAAGGGGAGAACCAGGTTGAGTGCAACCTTGGCATTCCAAAGCAACTATAATTTAATAGTGCTACCAGCTGCAAGCTCTGACAGAAAGTCATGGCTGTTTGTCCATTTGGAGTTTAGCTTTGTGCCAGGACTTGAGTTTTGCATGTACATCCATTTTACTGGCTTATTTGTGTGTACTTGGTTGTTCCTTGCCACTCTGGCAGATGCACTCCGACTTCGAAGGAAGCCCCTAATTAGTCTACTCCTATGTAATGCTTTTTGGAAAGGCAGTGGGTTTATTATTTTTTCCCTGAACCCACACGAGGAACTGAACATTCAATGATGGTGGTGTTGCAGTGGACATTCTGCAACAGTGTTAACCTGAGGTCAGCTGGGAAATTCAATAACTGAATAACAATGTCCTACTCAGTGGGACACAGAAGCTGATCAGACAGTGACAAGCAAGCAACATATAAACTATGTGTATCTTACAGTTATCTTCCACATCTTTGTTGTCATACTCCTCTGCTGGAAATGTTCTGTCGTACAGAGAGTTGATGATCTGAGGGAAAAATGACAGTTTCACACAAAATCAGGTCAATAACTTGCACATTCACTGAGTGGAATGCTGACACTGACAACACTGACATTTGATGAAATGCCAGAGCAGAAGACACTGAAAACATGTAATAAAACAGAACTATGATTTCCATGTTACTCAGTGGCAGAAACTTATCAAGATAACAAGTGTCATCACCTGATCAACAAAGGCTGGTGTTACCATCTCACTAACTCACAGCTATAGCACTGTGACAACAATATATGATACTGACTCACAGCTGTAGCAATGTTGACAACAATGCCTGTCACTGACTCACGGCTATAGCACTGAAACAACACTGTATGTCACTGTCTCACAGCTAAAGAGCTGTGAAAACAATGTCTGTCACTGACTCACAGCTGTAGCACTGTAACAACAATGTATGTCACTAATTCACAAATACAGCACTGCGACATCAACACATGTCACTGATTCACAACTTCAATGATGTGACAACAATGTCTGTCACTGTTTCACAGCTATAGAACTGTGAAAATAATATCTGTCACTGACTCATCTCACAGCTAGAGAGCTGTGGAAACAATATCTGTCACTGACTCACAGCTATAGCACTGAGACAACAGTGTCGGTCACTGACTCACAGCTACAGCACTGTGACAACAGTGTCGGTCACTGACTCACAGCTACAGCACTGTGACAACAGTGTCGGTCACTGACTCACAGCTACAGCACTGTGACAACAGTGTCGGTCACTGACTCACAGCTACAGCACTATGACAACAGTGTCGGTCACTGACTCACAGCTACAGCACTGTGACAACAATGTCTGTCACCGACTCAGGCTACAGCAGTGTCAACAATGTCTGGTACTGACTCACAGCTATATCACCATGACATCAATGCCTGTCACTGATTCACATCTATAGCACTGTGACAACAATGCCTGGAGTTATCACTGACTTACAGCTATAGTACTGTGACAACAATGCCTGTCACTGATTCACAGCCACAGCATTGTGACAAGACACAATGCCTATCACTGATTTACAGCCACAGCATTGTGACAAGACACAATGTCTGTCACTGATTCACAGCCACAGCATTGTGACAAGACACAATGTATGTCACTGATTCACAGCCAGAGCATTGTGACAAGACACAATGCCTATCACTGATTCACAGCCACAGCATTGTGACAAGACACAATGTATGTCACTGATTCACAGCCACACTACTATAACAACAAACCTGTCACTGATTCACAGCCACAGCACTGTGACAAGACACAATGCCTGTCACTGATTCACAGCCATAGCACTGTGACAAGACACAATGCCTATCACTGATTCACAGCCACAGCACTGTGACAAGACACAATGCCTGTCACTGATTCACAGCCACAGCATTGTGACAAGACACAATGTCTGTCACTGATTCACAGCCACAGCATTGTGACAAGACACAATGCCTATCACTGATTCACAGCCACAGCATTGTGACAAGACACAATGTATGTCACTGATTCACAGCCACAGCATTGTGACAAGACACAATGCCTATCACTGATTCACAGCCACAGCATTGTGACAAGACACAATGCCTGTCACTGATTCACAGCCACAGCACTGTGACAAGAATGTGCAAGCAGGGCATCAACAAGCCACATCAACAGATCAGACTGATCAGGTAAAGAATCTGCACACACATACATACATACATACATACATGCACAGATGCAGATCAGAACATAACTGGCACACAATCTGATCAGGTGAAATATTTCATACACAAACTGAGAACAGCACCAGCAGAGACAAGCAGCAGCAGATAGACATGACAAACAAAACAGATACAGAGATTGATCAATTGAAACTTGTTATTTTTTTTTTTTTTTGGATTTACTAGTGGATTTACTGCACTGCCTCAAGTTTGATTACATCTGGGTGGGCAACTCTCCAGGCAGCTCAGTAGTTTCTAACAAATACAATATGATTAGTTAGTTAGTTAGTTAGTGAACAGATTATCCTCACTGCACATCGAAACATTTAGTCCATAAGTGCTCGGATCCCCACCTTAGTAACTCCTGCAAAGTGTTGCGGCTCACCAAACCAGTTTTGTGTTGTTCTTCTCTGGCTTTCTGCATAGTGCTCTTGTCTGGCCACACCCCTTTTCACATGCTGTTGTTGCAGTAAGGTGAATGTTACAGATTACTTGGTTCTACTTCTCCTAGAGCATTCAGAATATCAGCCTAGTCCATGGCTCATCCACCCTCCACTGTAGCTTTACCTGCAAGCCAATCAGCTTGTTCACTTCCTTGCACACCTGAGTGCCATGGCACAAATATGAAACTGATATATGCTTTAGAGACTCCACCCACTGTCTTCGGATCCAGCCTTTCTCTATCTTCCTGGGCATACTCATTGAGTCAGTAAGAAAGCATGCGAGGGAAAATTCTGTCTGGTAGTCTGGTAGTCTTAGTTTCAGCTTCATAGCAAACGGGTCACCCCATCTTTGCTCGGCTCCTGTGCCAACGAAAAACACACAGAATGTTTATCACAGTATTAGAATTGCAGTTCATCATTGATGATAGCAGAACTTGTCGCCAACAGATCAGCAGTTGCCAACGCGATCAATTTCAATCACATACGGGCACCACAACACTGCACGACAGGCATCACGCCATTTTCTGAATCTACAATTCACACCAACACATTCAACACAGTTGAAAAAACATTCCAAATGCAATCCGCAGCTCACAGGGTCACGCCATGCATTCAACTCAGAAGCTGGGCGACGAAACTATATCCAGTCTACAAATGGAGCAAAAATGCATCGGCCACCGTCTGGCAGAAGCAAAAAATTTGCCTCTGTTTCAAACAGTGCCGCTGCCTAATGTCCATTTTGACCAGAAAATTCTGTGTCTCCAGTAATGTTATTGCTTTGGTCACTGCCATGACCTCCGCAGTCAGACTACTTGGGGTCAAGGCAATAGCACTATAATCTTGCTTCACAGTGTGATTCATGCACAAAAACACTCATGTGATCAACCAGAGATGAGCCACTCACTTATCACTAGCAAAAGATCATTGCTGCTGGTCCCATGCCACACACTAAAGCTGGGGTGTCCAGTGTCAGGGTTTCACAGATTCGACCTTGGGACACGAAGAGAGGGTGCGGCCATACATTCCCACAAAAATTATCTTTTTTTTTTCATTATTCCAAGCGATGTAACTGCCCTGTGCCTGTTTACAGCAAAGCTGCAATATTTGCACCATTCATCATTTGTTGACGGGGTTAATTAGCTTTCTAGATAGTTTTGTGGCATTGGATGTAACCTTATCTGTGGTGTTCTCTTTGTCCTCTTTTCTACAGGTCTTGAGCCTGGAGTACCCATCCAGGTCAACTATGTGCAGACTGATCGGCACTCAAGGGAAAGCAGTGACAGATAATGGGTATTCTATCATTGGCACCTTTCCGTCTTTCCAGACGATAGTGTTATATTGCGCTATGAAGAGGCATGAGACTCACAGCCTATGGCGATGGCGAGTGTGACTAGCAAGAACCACCCATGTCAAGAAAAGTCTTCCATTATAATAGCATGGAATTTCAGGACCATTTTTGTCAACATTTGTGTTTAATGTGTTTCTTTTCAGACGCTCAGCTCTTATCCTTTCTGCAATCATTTCTTCCTTCAGTCTCATTCCCTTCATGATATACCCTTTCCACAAAACACAGTCCATGGCATTTTGTTCCCATGAGTCCACTTAAATACCTGTATCATTTATGTCCCGTTTGCACACTTCTTTATAACGTAGTAGAGGTCGGCCTCGACATCTTCTTCCTGTCTTTAATTCACCATAAAGAAAGTCCTTAGGGACTCTGCCATCCTCCATGTGTGACCCAGCCATCTGAGCCTTCGTAGACTGAGCATGAAAAAGACTGTTGTAGTACCTGCTCTTTCCAGTACCTCAGTTGTCCTGGTGGGGTAGAAAGTCAGTCAGTCAGTACCTTAGTGTTTGTGATTTTGTCCTGCCACTTAATGCCAAGTATTCTTCTTAGGCATCGCATGTGAAAGCTATTAAGCCGTCTCTCCTAGTGCAAATAGGTTGACCAAGTTTCACTGTCATAAAGCAGAGTGCTGAAAACACAAGCCCGATTGACAAGGGTTTTTGTTTTAATTGTGAGCTTTCTGTTCTCCCAAACTCTCTTTGTCAATCTGCTCATTGTTGTTGCTGCCTTACCTTTCCTGATGTTGATTTCTTGGTCCAGCAATAGTTTACTATTCACTGTGGAACCCAGATAGGTAAAATGGTCGACTGTCTCAAGCTCTTCACCGTCAGTGTAGACTAGGTCTGTCACTGACACCTTGCACCATAACCTTAGTCTTCTGTTTACTGACTGTTAGTGGAAATTCACAGCACATATCAGCAAAGGCAGATAGAAACATTGCAGCTCCTCCTCTGAGTGGGTGGTTATTGCAGCATCATCTGCAAACAGCAGCTTTCTGATAAGTACCTTTCTTATCCTGGTTTTGGCCTTCAGCCTGCGTGCATTGTAAAGGCTGCCGTCAGATCGAGAATGAATTAAAATACCACCCTCCTGATCTCAAAAGGCATGTGTTAAAAGAAGTTAAAAGAAGTGAGAAGTATATTCCAAAGAGGTTAGGAGCAAGTAAACACCCCTGCTTCACTCCATTTTTGATTAAAAACTCCTCCGATGTTACACCATCAAAGTTGATTGTACCTTTCATTCCTGTGTGGATTGACTCAATAATGCTCAGTAGAGTAGGTGGATACCCAATTTTATTCAGTGCGTTGAACAGACCTTTTTGACTAACCAAATCAAATGCCTTGGTAAGATCAATAAAAGCAACATACAGTGGTTGATTTTTTTCACGGCATTTTTCCTGGGTATTCTATAGAAGCAGACAAATGGATCCAGTAGCCAGTGCATGAAGCCATCTACTCCAGGGCTGTGCTGCTAGAATGCTGGCACAGCTCCAGTCCTACATTCACCATCATCATCATGTACCTTGTCACCAGGTGTAGGCAGTTGTGATTCACCATTTCTCAAAACCACAGATCAGGTGTTTGTTCTTATTCTGTCCATGCAATGTCATCAATTTGTCCATGCCAGGTGATCAACCTATCTATGCGATGTGGTCAAACTGTCTATTCCATTTGGTCAACCTGTTCATGTCATGTGATCAACTCGACTATGCTATGTGTTAAACTTGACTATGCCATGTGATCAACATGTCCGTGGCCATACCATGTGGTCAACCTAACCATGCTATGTGATCAACCTGTGTATGCCATGTGATCACTTATTTGTGCCATACATCAACCTACCCATGCCATCTGGACAACATGTACCTGCCATGGAGGCAACTTGTCTATGCCATGTTATTAACCTCTCAATGCCATGTGGTCAACCTGTCCATGCCATGTGGTCAACCTGTCTATGCCATGAGATCAGTTAGTTAGTTAGTTAGTTAGTCGACAGCTTATCCTCACTGCTAGTCGAACCACTCAGTCCATAAGTGCTCAGATCCCCTCCTCAGTAAATCATGCAGCGTGTAGCGGCTAACGACACCAATTCTGGTAATCTGGTAATCTTTACCAGATTACCAGAGCTGGTGTCGTGTTGTACTGTGTTGGTTTATTATTTTTCTTTGGCTACCCGTATAGTGTTTTTGTTTGGCAAACCCTGTTTAACATGTTGTTCTTGAAGTCTGACCATGGTTGCAGACTGACAGTTCTTAGTTGATTCACGCAAACATTTTAATTCTCTTAGAGCATTCAGTATATCAGCCTGGTCCATGGATTGTCCAGCTTTCACAGTAGCATTACCTGCAAGCCTATCAGCTTGCTTATTTCCTTGTACCCCGACATATCCTGGCATGAAAATGAAACTAATCCTTGTCAGCCGTGAATTCTGTAGAGCCACCAACCACTGCCTTCGGACCCAGCCCTTCTCTATATTCTCAAGCATACTCATCTAGTCACTGAGAAAGCATGCCCCAGTGAAAGTCAGTGTCTCTAGCCATGTTACTGCTTTAGTCACAGCCATGACCTCCATAGTCAGACTACTTGTAGTTACGGCAAAAGCTCCATAGTCTTCCTTCACAACTCTCTCTCTAAAATGAGCAGTGGAAGCCAATGGCGGATTACAGAACTATCTGTGTAAATGACAGCAACCCCCTCTAGAGGGTTCTCGAAAATCAAGGCTTGAACTTTTGCTTCCACAGCAGCCGGACTCTGTTGTTTGCATTTTCTGTCTAGGTGGATGCAAACAGAAAAAGATGTACAGCACTCTGAAGGCACTTGCAGTCACTCCTCGCCTGGTTCTATGTCCCCAAGTGAACATACCTGTAAAATAATGTCCTCGGCTTGACCCATCTACGATTTGCCTCTTTTTAACTTGCTGCCTTTTATATTCTTGATTTGACTATGTAATGAATGTTGTGTGTCCGCCTTGACTGTGAAGTAGGCACAAGCTCGGGAAATGTGTATTCTGTCATCCACGGTTGGAAAATCGAGAAGGTAACGCATAGCCCTGCATGCTGCATCTCTTGTACACCTGAGTATAATAAGCACAGCCTCGTTCTGTATCCTTTCCATCTGCTTATGGCTGATCGCCATCGCATATTCAAAAACAGAAAGGACCAGACCCGGTATAGAAGACATAGATGACGCTGCTCACAGTTTGCCGCCGCCATCACTCTCATCGCAGCCAGACCCTGCTTGGCTTTCATTATAATCTGATTTATGTGCTCAGTATAAGCAAGGCTTAGATCAAAATTTATCCCCAGGTATTTCATTGCATTCGTTCTTTCCACAACCTCAAAACACAGACTAACAACGGGTGTTGAAGTTTTTTACAATATGGTTATTCAAAGAGAACCATGTCACTGCTGCCTTCGCTGGGTTAACCAGTGCACCAGCTTTATTACACCAAGTGATTATGCGATTCAGCTCTTTTTGTAGTTCTTCAGCAACCTTCTCTCTTTCCCTTACCCTGATAATAAACTAACACATTGTCAGCATATGACAGTGTTTTTTCGGGTCTTGTGATTTGCTTGCCTGTGATTCTCACTGTGTAAACGTTGAACAACACAGGAGATAATGGCGATCCTTGTGGCAGGCCAGGATGTATTGTTGTTGGTTCAGACATCCAACTGCCACATCTGACACACTACTTTTCGTTGGAAGAGGGCGAAAAAAATCCAATGAAGCAGGAATGGACTTATCTAAAGTTCAAGAAGCTGAGACATTAAAATATCCAAAAGTACTGAACTTGTCTATGCCAAGTGATCAACTTGTCTATGCCATGTGGTTAACCTGTCTATGCCATGTAGTCAAACTGCCCATGCCATGTAGTCATCCCATCCATGAATGTATTTCTCTGTCTTTCCATAAATCTGTTTCCATGAAGTTTGCCTGTTGTCACAAAATTTTCACATTTAAACTCCCAATGTATCTAGAAAATCTGGACTGCCCAAGAAAAATGTTTCCTACCAGCTTACAGTTTCTCAGAGTACTCAGATGCCATTAAAAAATGTAGACTGACAAATGAATCTACTCAGAATATACTGAGAGAAAAAATTACTAATAATAAAGCACCTTCAACAATATCATGAGAGCTGCACAGATTAAACATTGTATACAACAAAATACCAACTCAGCCCTGAAATGTGAAGCAATGAAACAGGACAAGGAGAAGATTCCAATTTCTAAAAAAATCAAAGCATGCTTACAGTTCCTGGAGCATTAAATGGTTCAATGCTAATGGTATCAGCTCCTATATCCACAATGCGGCCCAAGGTGAAGCCCTCGGTAGTGTGGGGCACCCAGACCCTCTTGCCTCCGTCCATGGCTGTCAGCTAGACACCAGCAGTCTGTGAAGGACATCAATGGAGATAACCAGATTACAGCCTGCCCTATAACCAGCTGAGGTGACCTAGTCAGAGTAACTGTCAACATGGTGACCATCGTTCACATTTCCTAAAACTAGGTGAAAATAGATCTCATTTTTATTTTAGCGTTCACTGGTTGTAAAGTGATGCAAGAAGTTATGGTTGTTCATCCACTTCTGGACTTTGGTCTCGTTCCAGAATCTGAATATTAAATGCAGAGCCATTTTACAGATATGACTTTGTATGCAGACTGCTGATTCTTCACCTCTCAGGTAGAGATACCCTGACTTGAAGGAAATGCCCCTAAACAGTCGTCTTTTATGACACACCTGTGTAAGAGGCAGTGAGTTTCTGTTGAGGCCTCCCATGTGTGTGAACTAGCGGTTCTACAATGTATGTACATACACCAACACCCAACATTTTGAGGTCTCCCATGTGTGTAAAATAATGGTTCTACAATGTGTCTGCTGTGTACACACACCATCATTTAACTTGTTGAGGCCTCCCAGGTGTGTGAACTAACGATTCTACAGTTTATGTGTACATACATCAGAACCCAACTTGTTGTGTGTGAACCAATGGTTGTACAATGTATTTGGTTTGAACAATGAATCAACATCATGTCACAAGGGTAGTATCTCATAAGTGCTTCGTTCTGGTTCTAACTCAAGCATGAGTCCAAAGAATATCAGCGCAGTGCACAAACTCTGTAGCACTGGTAAGGATCCTGAACTAATTTGGGTAGATTTCAAACTCCACATTTTTGCCTAAGTAGCTCCATTAGGCTACATTTTTCAATTTGTAAGTAATTTTTTTTTTTTTTACGTGCACAACAATACACACAGGCGTCCAGACTTACTACCCAGAGACCAGGGAAAATACCAAAAGTCTACGTGAAAAAATCCTAGCCTTCACCACAGCCTGAACCTGTATGTATATGTACAAACACCAACACCCAAGTTGTTGAAGCCACCCAAGTGGATAAACTAACGTTGTACAAAGTATGTGTACATACACCAACACTGATCTTGGCAAGTCCACCGATGTGTGTAAACATATGGTTGTACATAGTATGTGTACATACACCAACACCCAACTTGATGAAGACTGTCATGTGTTTGAACTAATGGTTGTACAAAGTATGTGTACATCCACCAACACTGATCTTGGCAAGTCCGCCAATGCGTGTAAACTAATGGTTGTACATAGTATGTGTACAAACACCAACACCCAACTTGGTGAAGCATACCATGCAGTTTGTGGGAAAAACATAGCATCATCTAAACTGAAGGAGAATTATATGTGAATAAAGAATTAAAGCATGGATGGAATATCATTACCAACAGTTCCATTTAATAACATCCTAGTTATGATCAGAAACATCAGAAAAAGTCATCACACCATATAAATGACTGGATTTGGCTGGTACAATACATCTTACTTATCATGTGGCAAATTCTTCTGATAACATTCCAAACAAACAATCTAGAGATATCCTGTACTCTACAACTTTTTATGTCCTGTTCACAAATTTTACAACAACTTGTAACTCTTTGTGATTGTAGAAACTTGTCAAATTCTTAGAAATGTTACACTACTAGCATTGTTTTTGCTAAAACTAATACTTTTACAAATGGTGTATTCTAACAATTTTCCACGTTTTGTGATCACAAGCATTTATTTTCGGTAACAACAATAATATAATGTTAATCTGTTGGAAGATTGTGCAAATTACTTCACCACAATCGAACAAATTCAGAGTATTTAATTACAGATATTACTACACCATAGATCTCCATATTCTTGTATAACAGCATTCATTATCCATTGTACTAAAATCCACCCACAATCCAATGCCCAAAGTACTCATTCATCATTTAAATAATGTTTATTCCATTCATGAAGATTATATTTGTGTAGAATGGTTAGGCCTATTTGTACTTACAAGACAAGTTTTTTTTATTAATGGAAAAAAAATCTAGCATTTTTCAAGCTAAATTAACGATAAAAATATTGTGTCTAAGACTGTAAAAAGCCAGAAACCTAAGAACAAAAAGCAGCTCCAATCTCTATTGGATTGGAATGAAATGCATAATGAAAATTTGTCAAAAACAAAAACTGTTTTTCAACATACCCTTTATTGAGAAAACAAGATCCCACTAAAAGAATTTTTTTTTTTTTTACAACCAGATGCCAGCGGTCACACAATAGCTAGTATGCTTGCACAGAAACACTCACAGATGTTACTTCCGGTAATGTATATGTCCCAAAAACTGAACCCAACTCAGCAAAGATATAAAACATTTCAACGGAAAGCACTAGCACTAGTAATCAGTTTTAAAAAAATTTAAGAAATGTTTATTAGGAAAAGAATTCACCATTTTGACAAATAACTTAGGATTAACACAATTATTGACAATAGATGCTCACAGTAACCCAAGGAAATGGTCTTTATTAATCTCACAGTTTAAATTCAATATAGAACATTTCAAGGGAACAGAAAATCATTTGACAGATATCATGTCACATTTGTAAAATATTTTGCAAGTACTGATTTCAATTAACTAATGTGTAAATTTATCATTTAAATGTACTCTTTGTCCAAATAATGCATGAATGTAATAATATCAAATGAAAGTGTTGGAATTGCTATAAAAACAATTAATTCTACCATAACCAGTTAAAAAGAGGAGACAAAACTTGGATTGAAAACATGCCACACAAAAAATGATTATGTCAACATTTAACTATGTATCAAGGATATATTTTATATATTATATAACATTACATTTGAATATTTATACTGAAGAGACGTGTAGATTTTTTCTTAAGACAGGTAAAATACCTTATATGAATGTGTATAGTGAGGGTGGGACTTCATAGGGTGACACTTCGGTTTTACAGCCACATTTTTGGGAATTCTGGTGTGCCACCTGAACAATCAGACCTGTGTAGGGTCACAATTGCACTGAGCTGGGAATGCAGAGACTGGCCAGCAGGTGCCACAGAGATGGAAATTCAGCAATTAATTCAAGATAATGCTCGCGCAGAAGATTTGATCATTTACACAGACGGTTCAGTGTCAAGAGGCAAAAAAAGTGCTTGGGGTTTCTTAGCAAAAGTTAATGCTTGACGTTTGGTGCAGGAGAGCCTAGCATATGATACCACAACATCCAGCTTAACTCTTTGAGTCCCAGGGGGTTAAGCGTTAGAGGCCCAAGGGGTGTTAATGCAATTTTTTTATTTCACAAGTCCAACACATTAAAACAGACCATACTAATTCAACTGCCGCGCAACATACACATATTATACATCAAAGTATTTGGAAGCTTGTGAAACAAATTAATGATGAGGACACAGGGTGGAACTCAAAGATCACGCTGCAGAAAGATGGAAACATGGTCACAGGAAAAGAGGCAGCCAACCTATTTGCAGACATTTTTGCTTTAGATAACGACACTGAAATCAGTTCAGAGAAAAAACAAGATATTCAAGAAAAGACACAATTTAGAAGTCAGAAACAAATAACATCAGAGGCGCTAGAGGTGCTAATTACACTGAATGAACTGGAGTTGGCCATTTCAAAGCTTAAAATGCGGAAGTCACCAGGAGCAGATGGTATTTCAGACGAAATGATCAGAAACTTAGGAACAGTAGCCAAAACAAAGCTTTTATGGATATTTAATGCTTACTGCGCAAAAGGAAATGTTCCACAGATCTGGAGAGAGGCAATTATGATACCCCTCATAAAGCCTGGGAAAGACAGTTCTAATGCCTCCAACTACAGACCGATCAGCCTCACAAGCTGTCTCTGCAAAACAATGGAGCGCATCACCAACCTCAGACTACAGTGGTACATTGAAAGTGAAAACATCATTACACCACAGCAGGCGGGCTTTAGAAAGTTCTACTCTACGGAAGACCAGACAACATACCTCTCCCAAGAAATAGAGGATGCTTTTTAAGATAAGAAACTGGTACTCGCGGCATGGATAGATTTAAGGAAAGCTTTTGACAAGGTTTGGAAGGAAGAGCTTTTGAAGAAATTGAGAAATTATAAAGTAAATGGAAAAATGTACAATTGGATACATAACAGAAGATTCCGGGTACAGGTAGATGGTTTCAAAAGTAAAAAAAGTTTTACTGCGGCAAGGCGTCCCTCAATGTGGTGTCCTGTCGCCCACACTTTTCCTCTTATTCATCAACGATCTGGTTGCTGAGACACCAAATGGAATCAAAATGGCAATGTATGCCGACAACCTGGTACTGTGGTGCACCAATGAACATGCAACGATAGCCACAAGAACACTACAGCGGGCTACAAATGCACTTGAGGCATGTGCCAATAGATGGTGTGTCAGCATCAACACAGACAAATGTAGCACCACACTCTTCACCCTCTCCCCAAAGCAAAAAGCTGGCATCATCAAAATAAACGGAATACCCCTAAGAGATGATAAAGAGCCCACGTTCCTATGAGTCACATTTGATGACAGGTTGACATGGAGAAAACATATCAACAAGGCAGCAACCAAAGCCAGGAGGAAGACAGCCATACTAAGAAAACTAAGTGGAACCACATGGGGAGCCAATGGGAAAATATTCACTAAAGTATACAAGCAGAGCATACAACCACACTTGGAATATGGGTCAAACTGCATGGTGTTCAGCATCTAGTACCACATTAAAGGAGTTGGACAAAGTGCAAAATCAAGCGCTCAGAGTTATCATAGAAGGGATGAAATCAACCCCCATATCAGAAATGGAGAAAGCTGGGACAACACAGGCACTGAGAGAATGCAGAGATGCAAAGTTGCAAATACTAGCTGAAAAGTTCCTCAGTATGCCAGATCACCCCATGAAAAATAGATTTCAGAACCTAGCCTTGAGACGGTTAAAAAGAAGCAGCTTTATACATCAAGCAAAAAGAATATGTAGACAAACTGCTGACCTTCTAG